AAGATTAAAGCATTGAGGACAGATAGAGGCCAAAAATACCTTGCCTGTGCAAATTTCTTTGACCACCATGGAATTCAGCATCAAATGAAAACTAGATACACTCCTCAACAAAATGGAATAGCAGAAAGGAAGAACAGAACAATCATGGATATGGTGAGATGCTTGCTAAAGGCAAAACAAATGCCTAGAGAATTCTGGGCAGAAGCAGTTTCTACTGCTGTGTATATTTTGATCAGGTGTCCAACAAAAAGTGTTTGTGATAAAACACCAGAAGAAGCTTGGAGTGGAAGGAGGCCCTCAATCCAGCATCGCAGAATTTTTGGGTGTATAACATATGCTCATGTACCAAATCAACTCAGAAAGAAACTTGATGACAAAGGAGAGAAGTGCATCTTCATTGGTTACAGCACCAACTCAAAGGCGTATAAGCTTTACAATCCAGTGACAAAAAAAAGTAATTATCAGTAGAGATGTGACCTTTGATGGAGAAGGAATGTGGGATTGGTCTTTCAAAGCCCAAAAGGAGCCTGCAGTAAACCCAGAAAACTATGAAGAAGAGAATGGACATATAGATCCAACACCTGATGAGCCAGAAACATCAAGCAGACCACAAAGGCAAAGGAGACTACCAGCCAGATTGGACGATTATGTTGTGGGTAATGATAATGACCCATCTGATGAAAAAATTATCAATTTTTGCCTTATTTGCAGATTGTGAGCCTGTAACTTTTGAAGAAGCTTCAAATAATCAACATTGGAGAAAAGCAATGGATGAAGAAATTCATGCCATTAAGAATAATCAAACATGGGAGCTGACAGACTTACCAGCAGACAAAAGGCCAATTGGAGTAAAGTGGGTGTACAAAACTAAGTACAAGTCCAGTGGAGAAATTGATCGCCTTAAAGCAAGGTTGGTAGCAAAAGGGTACAAACAAAAGCCAGGTATTGATTATTTTGAGGTATTTGCTCCTGTAGCGAGATTAGATACAATTCGTATGCTTATCTCTCTATCAGCTCAAAATAATTGGAAAATTCATCAAATGGATGTTAAATCTGCTTTTCTGAATGGAACTTTGGAAGAAGAAGTATATGTTGAGCAGTCTGCAGGATATGAAGTTGAAGGAAAAGAAGATAAAGTCTACAGATTGAAGAAAGCATTGTATGGATTGAAGCAGGCACCCAGGGCGTGGTATAAGAAGATTGATTCTTATTTTGTGCATAATGGTTTTCAGAGATGCCCGTTTGAACACACTTTGTATATCAAATTTGTTGACCCTGACAATATTCTTATTGTGTGCCTCTATGTTGATGATCTAATTTTTACTGGCAACAATCCAAAAATGATTGCAGAATTCAGGGAGGCTATGGTTAAATGTTTTGAGATGACAAATTTGGGCCTAATGTCATACTTTCTTGGCATTGAGGTCATTCAGCAGGATGATGGAATTTTTATATCTCAAAAGAAGTATGCTACTGACATTTTAAAAAAATTCAAGATGGAGAATTCAAAACTAGTTTCTACGCCAGTTGAAGGAAAGTTGAAGCTGACAAGTGACATTGAAGGCAAGAAAGTCAATCCAACTCTCTATAAAAGTTTGATTGGAAGTCTCAGATATTTAATTGCAACCAGGCCAGATATTGTCTATGGAGTTGGACTACTCAGCAGATTCATGGAAAAGCCACGAGATTCTCATTGGCAGGCAGCTAAAAGAATTCTTAGATACATCAAAGGTACTCTGACAGAAGGAATTTTCTATGATAAAGATATTGATGTGAATCTTGTTGGATATACAGATAGTGATTGGGCAGGAGATATAGAAACAAGATAGGAACAGGAGCAGTATCGTGGTCCTCAAAGAAACAACCTGTTGTCGCCCTTTCAACAGCCGAAGCAGAATACATGGCAGTAGCTAGTTGTGCAACTCAGTCAGTATGGTTAAGAAGAATGTTTGAAGTGATGCATCAAAAGCAAGATACTCCCACAGTGATATTTTGTGATAACAAGTCAGCAATTGCATTATGCAGAAATCCAGTATTTCATGGACGGTCCAAGCACATAGATATTCGGTTTCATAAAATCCGAGAACTGGTAGCTGAGAAAGAAGTAGCAATTGAATATTGTCCAACTGAAGAACAAGTTGCAGATATTTTTACAAAGCCTCTAAAAGCTGAGTTATTTTATAAGTTAAAGAAAATGCTTGGAATGATACAAGCTTGATTTAAGGGAGACAATGTCAGAATTGATTAAATCAAGATTGTAGGCGCCTACAAAGCCGTACTGCCGCACTTGAAATCCGAAATTGAAATTGCAGTAGCAAAGTTTGACACCATTAATTGTGGTGGACAAAGCTAATTTGCATACTAACTTTCTCGTTCCTTCACAAATGAGTTTCCTAAATATAATATTGTATTAGTTTGTAAAGCCTATATAAAGGCCATATGTTGTATTGTTTTATTATCATGTTAGGAAATGAAATATATTAAGTGAAGAATTCAGTTTTCCTCCTCTATTCCTTTCGTTGTGCGTGAGTTATTTTAAAGTTATTATGTCCCACTAATATCAATTAAACTGATTTTACTTTGAAAAGAAAGTTTGGGATGGTGGTATTCACATAGCATATACCTTCTCAACCTTCAGAGAATAGAGTTGAATAGAAAGGTATACAAGACTCTCTCTGTAATTAGATACATGTTAGAAAATAAGTCTAAGTATAGCTTTCTAATTTGAATTGATTGGGTTTAACCAAGTCCAAATATGTCTAGAGTTTGAAGCAAGTAAACCCTTACCGAAATATAAGATTTTTGTTAGACTGTCAGCTGACTTTGATTCTCTACTTTGACTCGAGCACTTTGTAATACCTCAACTCTTTTAAGAAACTCTTACTTTTTTAATGCATGATTGAGATTAGAAAGGACTAAAAGGCATTCTACAAAAAATGTACAGGATAAGAGCAACCAATTCCAAGTGCTAAACAGTATTAGTTACTGCGAAAGTATCAGTTGAGTACAAAATACAAAAGGATTAGACAAACTATCCATCATTCAATCTATTAAGTTTCAGCACAGCAAAATGTTTATGACGAACACGTTACTCTATGTGCGGGAAGTAGTTGCTTCACTGATGCAGGTGGACGACTTTAGGAAGCATGGAAGTGGAAGCACCAATGCAAATAAATCAAAGAAGGAAAGGTTATATGATTACTAATTTGCAAATCAAAGGGTATTTATTTGGAGGGAGGCAGTTCAAAATTTTATTCTACGACTAGCTGGATAGAGAGAGAGAGGGAAGGGGAGAAGAAATCTATTTATTCTAAGAAAAAATTAATGTAAATTTATTCAGTCGAATAACTCATATTTTACATTAAATTTTAACGATTTAATCGTTGAAATTAAAATTTTAAACACATAGATTAAATATGCAAATTTTTAAAAATTTAAAAATTATTTAATACTTTATTTTATTAATTTAAATTGACAGATATAAAACATAAGTTGTTAAATAAAGTAAATTTATCTAAACTTATTCTTAGAGTAAACATATCCTTGTATACACTTCCATTTAATGAGTGTGTTCATGTAAGCTACTTTCTTTATCCTTCTCCATCAGAAATTAGGCCAAACTACTGAAGGATTTGTTAATGGTGTAGTCTGGGTATTTAAAGCAAGCATATATAATTTGCCCATTTGATCCTAACGAGTCTGTTTTGCCAAAATTTATCTAAGGCTAAGTGGCGCAATGTCTAGCCGCTAGCAGGGTTCTCGAAATTCATGCTCGTGCTGATCCGATGCAATCCACAAAATTTACAATAATGCAATTTGAGCCACCATCGTGGATTAGAAATCAATAAAATTGTTTATCACGATGTTCATAATACATTTTAAAGTATCTTATATACGACCCCACTTCGTGGTGTACTTAGGATGAGGGATTTTGCAATTTTAAAGAATTTAAAATTTTTATATTTAAATTATTTTGATTTTAATTTTTATTATTATAAGAATATTTTGTTTAGATAAGTCAATTTTAAATTTTTAAAAATATAAATTTTTAGTTTGGATATGATAATTTAATTCCATCATGGTAAAATTGATTTTAAAAATTTATTCATATGTTAAGATTTTTAAATTAAATTTATAAAAATAAATACTAGTCAATTTTAAAATATTTAATAATTTTTAAAATTAATATTAGATAGTATTTAATTATTTTAAGAATATTTTTGAATATTTAATAATTTAAAGAATAAAGAGATAAGAGATAAAATAAAATATATAAGTGAAATAAGAAAAATAAATATGAGAAATTTCAAATTCTTACTTTTTTGGGGAGAATTTGAAATTCTACTATTTTAAGAAATTTTACAAATACTTGAATTTTAAATTCTTTGTAAATTTTCTGTCAAAACTAAAGCATTTCATTTCAAAGAATTTGAAAATTCTTCAAATAAATGAATTACACTATTTAAATTTCTCGTCCAAATACACTAAGAAAAATAGAGTAACACGAAAAAGATAATTAGCTTTTGTAACTTAAAATTATCTTTCAAAGTTAGTTGTAAATATATCATATTCCTAAACTATTGTTCAAACAACTTTTTATAAAAAAAATTATCTATCTATACCATTATACAAAGAAGATATTTTTTTTTTCAATAACTGCTGGGCCATTTTAGCCTTTGTTCATTATCTATAACTTTCTAAAATTACTCAAATAATTGCTCTAATTTTTTTTCTTTATAAATTGCATGCAGTATTTTCTTGTGTTAATCTATACATATTATAAAGGGAATAAGTTTTGATAACCACCCTTTTAATTTTCATTTTTGTATTAGATACTATTATCCTTAGATTTAGCAAAAATCTTTCTTTCAAAAATAAATATATAGAGACACAAAGTGTTCCCTACCAATGAGTATTAGGGAATATAATCTCGGTTATATTTCAACTGTCTATATAATTTCATTTCCCCTGCCGTCTCCTAATAAAAGAGGAGGAACACGTTGTCAAATTAAAATGTATTAAAAATCCCTCCAAATGCAATAGTAATTGCATCAAAACAAACGTATCAATCAATCCGCAGTAAAATGTTGATTTAGCATTTACAGGCCCACTTTATCTGCCAACAACAGGTGTGGCGAATTTAGTCGTTAAATAAATAAACAAATACTCATCACTTACCAGGCAAAAAGGTCCAGGGTCCCATGAATCGACTAAAGCTAGGTGTAACTCGTTAGTATTTCCTCCTCCATGAAGTCCACTTGAGTTTAAGCTGGTACCACAAAGGTGGTATTCCCAGCACCCCTCGTGCTAGCCTTGGATCAAACACATCAAATTGGACTTTTCTTAGGGAATCCAAGAGAACCTGAGCAGGCACTGCTGGAAGAAGCACCGGATGAGCCTCAACAGGCACACTTCCAACTAACTTCCGAGCCTTCTCTAAGTGTGCATTGGCTATTGATGCCATTTCATAAACTGCATCACAAAGGCCCTCACGAGAATCCACCCACCTCTCTTCCCCACCTTCCTGCTTAACTATCAAACCATGCTTGGATGCAACTGCAGTTGGTATGTAAGAAAAATGCCGGTTGCGGGCCGCATGATAGGGCAGTGATTTGAGCAGCAGTAGAATCCCACTAGCCTTGCCAATGTGTGATGCTGCATGATCAGCTGTAGTAGACATGATACCACCAGCTTGAAGTGTTAGGTACAGCATAGTTGATACCGTGTCCTCGGCATATTTCTCCAGCTCTCCGATAGTTTCTGGCATGTCAGTAGCCTCTCTTCTTGCATCGTTGATCCGAGCTTCAACAGATCGCTTCAACCAGATCTTGCTGATTTTGGTCTCAGCTATCACAGATGACAGGGCCTGTGCTGTTGGATGTTCAATCAATTTATTGGCAAACATTTTGTCTATGGCTTCCTGCCACCAAACAAGGCGCATGAGGCCAATCCTGGGATCTGAAGCAACATCCATAGCTCTAGCTGTTTCAACATTCAAAGCACGGAGTGCAAATGCAGCCTTCCGCATAGACGGAGGCAGCTCAAGAAGGCAAAGATAGTGATGGTAATCATAACTGCGCACTTGTTGCACACAATGGGAGAAAGCTGCCCTCAAGTTACTAGATGCAGAACCACCATTCATTAAATCTGCTGCACCTGGGTGCCTATAGATAAAAGTTGCATCCATCACAATACTGATATACGTACTGAAGTAGAAATTGCAATAAAGATATCATTATGTGTACATAGAAAATATTATGTTATTATGTAGATGCATGTATGCATAACAATATATATTTTAGAAGTTACTAGAGGATTGATTTTTTCCCCTTCAAAATTATATCCTATAATCTAAACCTGCAGATGTGTTAAGAATGAATAACTTAATCTAATCTCTGAAACTAGGAGCAAACTAATTTTTCAATGCATTTAGAGTTAATTCTCAAATTCTCTTCATGAGATTCATCAAACTCCTAATCATATAACTCATAGCATTTTCTTTATTAAAAAGCCAGACTCCCCTTGATTTAGTACTTTTGTCAGATTTGATACACATGGATTACATCGGGCAATCTGTGTGAGCACGACCCTTCAAGAAAAGATGTGCTACAACAACAACCAAACCTTATTCCACTAATTGGGTTTGGGTTCTATAATATGCTAAAGGTCAAAAAGGGTAAAAAAAAATCAAGTTCATCTGAGAGTGTTTTTTTAGAAATAAAAACAAGCAGTTTTAAACATTTTAGTTAAACTTCTTGTATATCTCAAGTATCTCTCCTCTATTCCAACACTGTGCCTCTAGTACTGCTCTACCACTGCCACTTTTTCATAGAGATCTGGCATCACTTTTAGCGTCTTTTAACTTCTGTTAACATATCCCATGTCAGCAAGGAATATAATCAAAATACTACTTGTACGAATTGAATAATTCTCCTTCCTTGACAATATGTTGGGCCACCGGCAGATGTTAGTCCTGGTATGAGACGGGCATGTTAAGACTATGACAATCCTCCCCTCTTGAGCTAACTTTTGTGGTTGAGTTAGACTTGATCTATATCTAATAATTTCTACTATTTGACATCCCTATCAATTGCTCCCCTTACCTAATGCCAAACACCATACTATAGCTTACAAGAAATTGATTCCATTAAAATAAGGGAATGCCTGGATTCACAGACAGAGAAGCATAGAAGAAGACTACCAGAGTTTGAGGGATAATATCTTTAGCCTACATACTGCCAGTCCATTGTCTAAGCTACCCAACATAAATCTGTTTAAATGTTATGCTCTGATACCACTAATGTGACAACCATATACTATAAGTAATTCGAGTTGCAACTTTATATGGAGCTTAAAATTTCCAACTTGAGCCCAAGGCAATGACCAATGTAGTTATACATACAATCATATAAAAAGTAAACTTTGATGCTTGCCTCAAAGATAATTACACAAAACCACTATAAGCTAAGTACTTTATGCAAAACTGGACAATTAAACTAAGACCAAAATTTTTAGCTTGAACTCATGGCTCCAAGGAGCGTTATTCTATTCACAAATAACATTGAAAAGCAAACAGTAGAATTCAAAAATGGGTAGCTAGCCCACAAATGCATACTCCCAGTTGCCCACCTATCAAATGAAAGTAAAACATTGTCTATCAAGCATTTCTTATCTGAAACATAATCAAGCACCAACATAGGAAAAATCCCAAGAACTAAATCACACAAAATTCAATGTATTTCTGGTGGATTCATCATGCAAGTACCTAGTCTTCATATATTAGTTAATACTAAGTATGCACCCCTTGCATAAAGACAAGATGTTACTATGTTAGCATAGTTAAGTGTGTGGCCATGACATACTTCGCAACTGATAAATGTTTTCAGCAGTCAATGCTAACAAGAACTATTCTCTTTCATTCAAATTTTCTTCTTCTCAGCTTCCGATCAGTAGTAAAGCTTTTAATCAAACTTCGGCTAATAACCTTAAAATCTCAAAAACAGAGACAACTTCTGCAAAAAGAACTCACCCACAACCCCAATCTTATTGTTCCCTAGTGGACCATCACCGCCCAATAAAACCCATGACCCATTCACAATAACGAGCAAGTCACCGAGCCCACAAGATCAAAGCACACAAAAATTGTTAATTGGATCGAATAATGAAAACCAATGCGATCACAGCTTTAGTTGTAGCGAAATATCGAACAGGCATTTCTACGAACAGTTAGAGTGCGAAAACTACAAGCTATGTAACTACCACTAACAGGAATTAAAGTATTATTTAAAATGAATTTGGAAATAAGAGAGATTAAAGCAAAGAAAATGCGAAAGTTACTTGGTGGAGGCGATGATGTTGCTGTTGCTGCTTCAGCACAAGGACCCTATTATGTTATGTTTGTTAAAACACTATTGTAGGACTTAGGACCCAATTTCCAGAATCAATCGCGTGGCACATGCACCTCTACTCTACGTCATGACTTGTAATTTATGAATTACAACAAGGTTGTTTTTGTCCACTACTTTGTGAAAACAATTTTTTATATTAAAGGAAAAATAGAATGTTAAATGTTAATCCTTTCATTTTTATTTATTTATTATTTATTTATTTGATTTAGGAGATTTTTGGTAGGTGGAAGTTCTTTTGCATATGGGATTTGAAGTTGTGATTCCTAAATATTATGATCATTAGAAAGAACTAAAATTTGATTGATTAATTATAAATTTATTAGAAAATATTTATCCATTTTTTGTTGGCAATTAAAGATTCATGCATTAAGATTTGGGTAATGTTACGGATTTGAATTGCCTTACGCAAGTGGAAAAGGCATAGTGCAATTTTGCTTTTATGAACCGTAAGATTAATGAAATGTTTAAGATTTTATCACGTGTAACACGAAATTTGTTTTTACTAATTTATATGTTTTTTTTTCCTACAATACCGGAAGATTCACTACAGTAATAAGCTTTTTTTTTTTTTTTTTTTTTTTTTTTTTTTTTTTTTTT